CCTAAACCCTGAACCCCTAAAACCCCTAAACCCTAAGCCCCTAAACCCCTAAACCCTAAACCCTACATACCCTAAACCCTAAACCCTAAATACCCTACACCCTAAACCAAGGACCGGTGTGCTTTTCACGAGCTGGGATCCTCCTGCCGTCAGCTTTGCCCGGGTCCGCATCTCAGGGCCTGGGCTGCGTGCCGTGAGATCTCGCACATCATTACTCTCGGGGCCTTGATAACCAGAATAGGGTTCCTTTAAAGGGATCCGTTGAGGGTTCTATGTGGGATCTACGATAGGGTTCTATATTAGAGGCTCGAGTCTCCGTAGTTACACATAGGCCCGATAGTAGTTCCTTTTTGGGATTACCTTATAGGAGTCTAACATGAACCGCCAAAAAGGAACTACTATGGGGCCTATGGGTAGGGGCCTTAATAATTAGAATAGGGTCTTAGGGGCGTATAATTCGACTACATATACAATAAGGAACCCCTAATTACCTATACTATTTTGGGGTTCCTTATTGTAAATGTAGTATAATATACCCCCAAAAATGTTACGCTTGACAGCAGAAGCAGCTTTCCTGTCGTGGTAGGCCTCTTCAGTGGAGTCTCTCCTCGAGCATCTTGTTGGCGGCGGAGGTGTGAGCGTGAAATGAATCGGTCTCTGAGAAGTGCTGTGTGCATCGATCTGGATGGTGTTCATTCCCCACGCTAACTTTAAGTCTGCCACGAAAAAGATTCCAAGCATCACCTCCACATCGCACGGTGCATGTTAGCCACGAGGCAGGGTCAGAAATGGACTGAACGATGTCAGCTCATGTCAAAACTTGCATCTGAATCGAGCCCCGAAAGCGAAACGTCCTGAAACGATTTCCGAAGGTGTTGCGATCCTATTTGCGACGCGAGTGAAGTAGGGCGACTAGAGTCTGTTGTAATCAATGGAACATTCGTGATCCGCCTCGTTATCTGCTGTGCTCTTCGGAGCTCTTCGCTCGTATCACCTCCTAGTACCCGAGGCTGTCCTGCTGGAGCGCTGGTAGCCCTCTGCATGAGAATCTCGCGGCCGCTCGAGCTGGCACCCCATTGTATATCTTGTCGCATGCTGGATTGCACCATTGACAGATATACGGACGTAGTTGAAGGCTAAGTGCTTCTATCCATTGTGCTCTCCGGAGTGATCCGCATTCGCATCGCCTTAGAAGTCAGTGGTAGGGCGGTGCCGGCTCTCTCACATCCAGATATTCAGCTCTGATTGCTTGCCGTTACGGCTATCTGTAAGCGAAGCCCGTAGCCTAAACTTGCCCCAAAATCTGTGGAACCCCAAATCGTGACAGCAACCCTGACGGTGCAGCAGCTGAAGCTAAGCTTGTGTTGAATTCGAAACCTGGAGTCACATCCAGACAGAATTGAAGGTGCCCAAAGAGGCTGGAAGTCAGAGTCTTTCCTAGAGTTTCGGGGGTTTGCTGCATGCTTGGACAGCTCTGACGTGTTTGAGCAGATCGTTCTTACTGGCTGATTCGTTCCCCAGCAAGAAGTCTTTCTGCTTGCAAACCGTGGCTGATGACCAATCCAAAACATCTGCGTGCCAGGGGGATGTTGTCGGAGTTCGACGCCGCAAAGGTAACTGGGTGGAGCTCACTCAGGACACGGCCCTTACACATCTGCAAGACTGGGTGTGGTTCCACGATTCATCCACACCCCAGTCCTGGGACAGAGCTTGTGTAGCCATTTAACCTGTGTTTTTCAGAATCTCCGAATGTGCTGCTGGAGCTAACCTCTCACCTTCATCGACATTGTGTCAAGACTTGCAACTGCAGGGGTTACCAAGGCCTCAGAATGCACACTGGCCTGTAGGACGACATGAACATCTGGACATCCTTCCAGAAAACTATACAGCTCACGACACCACCGGATGGTGGCAAAAGGATCTTGTTGGCTTGGCGTTGTATAACATTGGCCTTAATGTAGCCCCTATATAGGTACTTTAAAACCCATGTATATGCTATATGAGTACACTTTAGGGAAACTTAAGAGCCAAAGCCTAGAGCCAGGATTCGGACGTCCGCTTCAAGAAGCGCGAGGGTGGGGGCGACCCTCCTATTGCCGCACCTCAGCGGCCGAATTCGATAAGCGGTTCATGTTCATGATACTACCCAGATAACCCAATACCCCTTAATTAAGGAATATACCTTAAGTTATAGGGTCCCTAATATTATGATTTATGGTATATTCCTTAAGTAAGGGGTATTGGGTTCTCGGGGTATGTAGTGCACTCACCTACTCAGGAGGGTCGCTGTCGGGTCTGCGAAGAGAGTGGCACCAGTGAACGAAGGATGAAGGACTCCTGAAGCCGGATCTTGATCCAGCATTCGTCCTCAGTTCCCCCGAGCTTAGCTTTACTTTGGGCTCGGCGTAGCTGAAACGGGCTTGAACTTTGGTTCAACTAAGACCATTGCTATAGTGGCTATAGTCATCGTTGTTTTATCTTCATGTTGGGCAGTGGTCGTCATGCGCTCACATACCAACTTGACTTCGAGCCTGACTGGACTACGGTAGCATCAACACATCACTGCATCTTCAGCCGAGCCAGCTCTCCGCACGCAGTCATATTCATGGAGCAATCCTAGCTTGCCCTAAGGCGATGAACAACCTCCGCCGGCACAAGGCCCGAACAGCTGCTTTCTCTGAGCATGAACCTGTATCGGCTTGCAATCTGCAACAAAACGCGTGCCACTCTCCACTTCTACACGCCGGAAATGGCGAGACGACTCTGCCTGGACCCCAACAGCATGTATAATTAATAACAGCCTTTTAGAGGTTTGGGCCATTATTTTACCTACTTTGGGTGGGCTTAGGTAGTGCCGAATGTCGGACATCAGCATTTGTCTGAGTTCATCGAAGTTGCTCTCGAGTCATATGCGCGCCAGGAATCAGGTTGTATACAATCTGTCCACCCAGCCTTTCTCTCGGAGCCTGCAGAGCCTTAAGCTGATCTTCATGGGGTGTTCATTCATCATACATACATGCATGCATACATTCATAGACATACACAGAAACCTGGGTTTATACATACAGAGGTACATAAGTACATGCATGCTGCATGCATGTGCATACATGCATACATTCACGATTTCTGGCTTGATGCTGCAGGTGTCGCCGACAGGAACAGCTAGCTCCAGCACCGCGCTGGTGCCGGAATCGGAGGTGCTTCCACCCCAGACACCAGATCCTCTCTAGTTCTACATAGACCATGACATGAGACCAGCTTTTCTGTATGTTCGATTCATTGCGTTTAGTCGTTTCTTTGTGAAACTTGCAGTTCCCCTGAGTATTCGATTCGAATTTCGGAGGGCATTGCTTCAAGGACTCTGACAGATTGAGGGTTGTCCTTGGGAACTCCCACTGGGTGATTTTCTCGGGGGTCGAACATTGGGGCTGGGGATGTCGTTATCATCGCAAAAGCGGACATATGTGTGATTTTGTTTGGAGCTTCGATAGGCCCAGCAGTTGTAGGCCTAGTTGGAGTCTGCACGGATGTCACCTTGCAAAAATGCCGCTTGACCAAGACAGCAACAACAGATCGCATCTCACGTTTGTCTTATTGGTACAAGCATCAGCGACAGGGTCTTTCAACAACTAATGCAGAATTCTGGATGCCTCAAACCCTCTGCGAAAACTCAAATTGTAAGATCTTAGTAAGAAGCTCGTACATGATTCGTGCAGCTACTAAAGGGGGTTACGACACATGGAAGCTTTGACACGTAGCCCGTAGAATGTAGAAGCGTCTCGAGGCTTGGATGCTCGTGGAGCACCCGAACTTTGGCCAGCTGCTCCGCCGTGCCCGAAAGCGGAAGGACTCTCTCTTTTTTGTGGGCTCTGGGGCTGAAGGGGCTGTGGATACAACCAGGGAGAGCAGGTCGTGCTTGCTTAGAATGCTCGACATGCTTGCGTCGAGAGAACAGCCAGTAGTAGCCGTCTTTTGGCAAGGTTCGTGCAGGCACAGAATTCACGTTTAAGAAGGCCGTGGGTGTTTCCTTGTACTGTAGCCGCAATTTCTCCTTCGTAACTCGCCTGCCCGTCAGTCCGCAGGGCGGTCTTGGCCACGGGTGTGTTCTGACGGAGCAGCGCCTGATGATGTACCAGCAGGCAGCCTCGGTTAGTGTTAGCACTTGGTGTTTATTCTGTCACTGTCCCTAAGGGTCCATGTGC